CCACCACGGATGGGGCCCAACAGGGCTGATGCCGATTCGGAGTCGCGGAGAACCTAACGGATAACCGTGCAGGAGAAGGAACGGGGTGGTTTTTAGTCACTAAGAGTCTGACACCTCCTCCCGCCTTACCCAGGCGAGAGCAATCATTCGATGATTTACCCGCCTTAACTCGTCGAGTACCGGTTTCGCAGACACAATTATAGAACAATAGGCTGCGGTCACCGGTGACCGCTTGGTATTTGACAGTTTAAAAAAAATTAACCACTCGTCATACACACGCTTTTATCAATCAATATCATCCTTATATCAGGCCTATAAGTGGCCACTGCTGACCAAATTCCTCTTCCTACACTGAGAAGGATTGAGCATTAATTACCACGCTTGCTCAATGCGGGTTGGCGATTCCAAACTTACAATTGAAATTATAAGTCCAGGTTTCCTCACGATGTTTTCCTTCATCGTTTGTCAGTGGTGTCTAGATAATCTTAGAAAGTACATATAATTCTGAAACAGTCACATTAGTACTTACCGTTGATAGGTTTCGCACCCGCACTCTCATGCAAGAGAAGTGGGCGTCTTAAACCAACGGGAAACCACTTTTATCAATGACGATTGGAAAGCATTCGTCACACAATAGTCATACATACGTCAATTGACGAAAGTCTGCGTATAAAACGGTCTTACTCTTAAACGGCCATCTGTCAACCCGTCATCCAAGTTTGGAATTAAATTTTTTAATAATCTAAAGCATATAGAGGAGACTGTAGCAAACTCTCTTATGTAGAGGAGGTCCATCGTTCAACCATGGACCGTCATGAACTGATAATGATAATGATAGCTCTTTGCAAATGAAACAAATGGTTGAAATTCCACACACCACATAGACTATCATATACTTTTTTCCAAATATTAAGTACCACGCGAAAGTAGCGAAACTTTCGCGCGGTCCCACTCGCTTTGCTCGGCGCCTATAAATTGATCATAGTGTGATGTTAAATATGCCTATAGCCTTCCTCGATAAGTGGACTAACCAATACAAACAAACTGTCCAGCTTTGTAGAGGTATAATAGTATAAGATAACAGATTTGTATATTATTTTTATGACTGACTGAAGATAGTAAAAATAAAGATCAAGCATAAAATAATGTATGCAAATATGGTCACCCTAATCGTTTTATTACAAAATATTGATACTGTGTCACATCACTTTTTTTTTTTTTTTTTTTTT